TTTAACAGCCTTAAAAACCTCTTGTTGAAACTGAGCCCCGGAACTATCGAATAATGTTTCACGATATGATTCACTGAGACGGAAGATGTGTCATGATAGCGCATGTCATATCATGAAGCCTATGTGTTCATTGCAGACTGCTTGTATTGTGCCAAGCGCCTCCGTAGTTATTGATTCGGTGCATTAAGATTACACATTTAACTGTCTCCACTTGAGACAGTTTTATTCGATATAGATCTAAGCTTGTGTCACGTGATTTGGCATGATCTATAATGGGAATAGTTTACCCGACGCAAACCATTATTTGAGAAGTGCAGTGTTTTGTGTGGGAAAGTCCACATAACAACAATGAGCTATTCTTATATGATACGTCCTCACCCGTGAAGATCCGGGGGAGAAAAGGTCTTCAGCAACCCATGCTTGCCTTAAAAAGAGACTATGTTTGGCGTAAGAGGTGACTAAAGGCATCGGGTGGTCAGGCTCGCTGACTTGGTTGATGCATGTCATCGTATCCCAATTGCGTGGATCGATGCTCATGATGTCAATCACTGGATTGTCTGGTCCAGACTCGATTATTTACAGACCGCCCTCATATAGCTGGAATTTTGCTGAGTGCGGCGTTAAACAAGAAACAAACAAACATGATACGTCCTCGGATAAAGCATTTAACTTAGACCCAACTGTTTAAACATAGTAATGTTCATAATCATCGTTATTTTTCGCACTTCCTCCGTGGTGTACTGGAAAGAGCGTCTGCCAGGAGAGAGAAGGTCGGTGGTTCGATCCCCCGGCCACGCCATACCAAAAGACGGTACGTAGTTTCTTGGCGTTGCAACTCTCCTTTGAAAATCACTATTGTACCCCAATGACACGAACGGGAAAATATATTTTCATTATTGAAATTCAGACGAATTGGTCAGTACGTAATCCAGGCATTTGTGATTATAATACCACCACCAGAGTCCACCTATGGGTCGCACAGTACATAGAAATTATAGATAAAACTGTGCCCTACATACATTCTGTTTACTGGCATAACGCATAAATATGGACGTTGTGTGGCCTTAACCTTTAACCTTTTTTCCCAGAAATGTTATGTGTGAAACATATTGTGAAAGACAACACCAGGGTCGTGACGAAGTATTTCGTCATCTCGAACGTAAGAACAGGGGCCTTGATCTTGGCATAGCCACAAGTTTGCCAAATCCTGACTTTGTTATTATTAACAGACCGCCTCCGTGGTCTAGTGGTAGAGCGTCCGACCGGATAGCGAAAGATCCGGGGTTCGATCCCGCGTCATACCCAAGTCCATTAAAAGATGGTACTTGTTGTTACCCTGTCTGGCTTGGCTAAAACAAGGACCGGTCGGCTCGGAGTCAGTATAGTGTGTCTGAGTGGGGTGTTCATGTTAAACTGTGGCATGGTATCTCAATGGACTAGCACTATAAATCGGCATCAGTCCACACACACACACACACACACACACACACACACACACACACACACACACACACCTCACCTCACCTCACCTCACCTCACCTCACCTCACCTCTGTTGTACAGCTGGATAATTATTGACTGTGGTGCTAAAAAACATTCAATCACTTACTCGTATAAACGGGTTGGTCAGTACAATACAATTGCGTCGTAGAAATAGACATAAGCGTATCATTTTACCGGGTCACAGTACTTTTATAATAATAGAACGGCATTATCTTAACACTCCCTTTTCCTAATATACTGCCTTGTAAGACTCCTGAACGGTCTATTCGTGTCAGCGTGTCCTCTGAATAAATGTTATAAAAAATTCTACCTTGAGAGAAATTGCAGAAGCCAGTGCTTCATGGTGTAATTTATTCACATCGCCAAGCTACTGACTCCTATATGTGCGTAATACTATGTTGACGTTGATATGCCCGTCTCCCGTATGATGCCGTCTCAAACTGGGAGAAACACATGTTTCTACACACACACATATACACACACGCGCGCGCGCACACACAAACGCACGCACGACACATGCGCACGCACCACACACACACATGCATACATACATGATTTGTCTCAGTGACTCAACGTTGATCACAAGATTGGTCTCCTTCGTGAATTGATTATGTCTTAAGTCCAAATAGAAACCATTTATTATTGTATATTTCCCAAATATTATAAAACCAAACTGACATAAACCACAATATATTATCCCACATGTGCTAAGTATGCTCTAACGTCACCAAACAAGCCACGTTTTTTTCTCATATGATTTAAATTTTATTTCAGTCCAAAATCAAATGTATCATATTGAATGAACTACTTGAATAAAGTGCAATTTTGTGACATGAACGAAACCATATTCAAGTGTATATTAGCATAGGAATTCAGACTGTACACCCTATATCTTTATATCCCTATATTCATAACGGATCTCACTCTTATCTCAAAGGACAATACCTATTCAACATTAAAATATATTGATTCTCATGTGAATGAACTATGTTAATCTTATGTCAAAGAAACCATAACATATATTCTCATGTGAATACAATATGTCAACTAAATGTCACAGAAACCATAAATATGCTCATGTGGATTAACTGTGGCAACTTAATGTCATCCTAATGTCAGAGAAACCATAACAGATATCCTCGCGTGGATTAACTATGTCATCGTAATGTAATAAGATATATATATATATATATATATATATATATATATATATATATATATATATATATATATATATATATATTCAAATGAAATAACTTTCGAATCAGCTATATCATAATATCATCACGTAAAACAACAACCCTGTGATCTGATATTATTTCTGGAATACTGTGTCAGCTAACAATATCTTCATTATCTGATATCATCTGATATCGTGTGGCTGCCCAAGTGATCGGATATCATTGTAGAATCGTGTAGCAGTTTCTCTTTAGAGCAACTGTGTATACATTATGTGCAAATCGCATTATTTTTTTTAAATATGTGCATGAACTTGAAGGAATATTAAATACACTGACACCCGAACTCGCTCGGCGTAACGCTTGGATAAGGCCAACCTACACTGTAGCGACCAGAACTGGGATAAACAGTCCACAATTTCGCAAAACCCCATTTACTGCGGTAATGCTTTCGGTTAGCTCTAAAACGCATGGCGATATACCAAATATGATTTAGTTTATATTAAATAACCCACATTAAATTCTTCACTATAAATTGGAAACATCTTCACGTCCACACACCCCTGGTGTTTTATTCAACAGTGCCCTATTAATAGTCCTAGGATAAGTCAGTTCACAGCGCATACCAACCATTAATGGTAGCAACTGTATACTTAACCGACCTCCTGCAGATCTCCAAGGGTAACTTCTCCTATTGCCAACAGTGCATTTTGCCTAAAGTTTCATCAAAACAACTTCATGGTTCAGGGGAGACAATAACAAAACCGTCATCCCAATACCGTAATCACTAAAAAACAGCTTTACTGTTGGCGATCCGCACTGCAGGGGAATAGAGATGGAGCCTCTCCGAGATATGGCCTTGTTTCTTCGTCTGTATTTTGTGAAGGATGCAAATCACATATATTTAAACTTCCCGAAGTTAGTGAGTGAGTTTGGTTCTACGCCTCTTTGATCAGTTTTTCCTTGAATCTTTTACCACTTGGGGTGATGAGAGCTTTAGTTAAGTCAGTTTCCATGTGTAGGATGCCAACAGTCAGAGGATCTAATTATAGAGAATCTGGTATCCGATGATCACGGCAGGAAAGGGACGTAACCCCCCATAGCAGATTTATAACAGTTTACACCACTGGGCCAACTTTGACCCCTTTTTGTACAAGGCATGTGTGTCGTTTATTCTCTGTAAAGTCATACTCCTGAACGATTTATGCAAATATGTTCTAAACATAACTCCAAAATAATATGTAATGCCCGCAATGTGTAAGGTTCGCCCTGCAATATGCAATTGCGGTGATATGCATACTTACAGGAGTTTGGTCTCCACTATAGTCGACGTCTATAATCTAAACTTCTATTTTGAGGTGATATTTATAATATTGAAGTCCATCTTATTGCGGTTGTGGTAGCGATTGTTTGCGACATGACACCTCCCCCTCCTAGACAGTGGTAGCTGATGTTTCGGCGTGAGTGGACAGGGGTTACAGTTTCGGGCCATGTTATGTCGGGGGTACTAAATCGGCTCTCTGTGACAGTTACAAGATGGCTTCAGGTGCGCGACCGAATCTTTATGAATAAACATTCAGGGTGTTAAATTATTGAACCATAGAGGACACCACATGCATGCGTTTGTGTGTGGGGTGAGTGGGGGGGTTGAGAGGAGAGAGAACACCACGTGTGTGTGTGTGTGTGTGTGCGTGCGTGCGCGTGTGAGAGGGAGAGAGAACGCCACATGTAGTATGCGTGTGGGGGGTGGAGAGAGCACCATTCACATGTGTTTGCGTATGTGTGTGGTGGGGGGGGGGGGGGGGGGGAGCTAATAGAGAACACCACATGCATGTGTGTGAGGGTGTGTGTGAGAGTGAGAGAGCACCACATACATGTGTTTGTGTGTGTGGGGGTCTCATAGGGGGGGGGGGGGGTCTCATAGAGAACATGACATGCAGTTGTGTGTGTGAGAGAGAAAGAGAGAGAACCACATTCATGTGTTTGGGGGGGGGGGGGGGGGGTCATAGAGAACACCACATGTTTACAGTATCAAATAACTAATTAAAGAATATACCGTCCATATGTGTTTACATTGATTTGTCATGTTAACATTAATAAGGCCCCTACCAAGATCCACCACGGCACTATAGTGATACAGACATGTTGACAAGCGGGCTCCTGACACCCAGAAGTAACGGTCAGAAGCATGATAAACTACATTAAGTGTGTCAAGAGCTCGTGTATGATAAGGGCATTGACACCAGTAGGTCTCCTTCCTTTGACTAGACACCCAATGCGTATACCTCTATGTACCAAACATAGACAATAGTGTAATATATTGCATCGATATCTGCTCCAGACACACCGAGTACTCGAAGAAACTACTTACAGCTAGGACAATCGGGTATAGAATAACACATTGATAACTGGTCAATTAAATATCTGATCACATGGCATTGCATATATATCAGTACACCGCCCGCGAGTGCGCCATTCGGTCAAACTCAATACCTGCTTTGAGTAACATGCGATATTTACTAAGAATCTACCCGTAAACGCATGACTCGTGTACGTACAGCGCTGTTGACAGAACGGAAATAGATCACGGCACCTCGTTGCCCCTCCGTCGGGGGTGCACAGTCAAACAGTGCAAGAAATATGGGAGAGAACTGTGTGTTTCTTAATGGCGATGTAAGGTGAGTACTGTTTCTTAAATACAGTGTTTAACGCTGTGGTGTCACTCCCATATCAAACCTACTGTCACGGCTAAGGCGTTCAATATGAAATTGATTATTATATAAGATATAACATGGCACGTACCAAATTGTAGCAATGTATGCTTATTAAAAAAACGAATTAGTACCAGGGTAGAATAAAAATGCTGTCACTAAACAAAGATGCATCAAAAATAAAGTTATATAACATTTTTGCAAAACAAAATATCTTACCTTATAACAAGCTGCACACTAGGCCACTTGGTCTATGCGAGATGTTAGGCTTTCTCTCCCGTCGTCAGTACGCGTGTCCTCTAGGTACCGTCCTGCACACAGGACTAGGGGTTTATCTTCCTCTGAGTGAACGAGACCCGGGTGGGAAAACTTGTGAGACCAACATTCAAGACACGTGACCACGTTCACACACGGGCGGGACAGCCATTGAGCTGAATATATATATATATATATATATCCTTTCAAGCGCTGTGAGAGCCGAGTGATGGTGACACATTAGTTATCTAACACAAGCCCGTGTGTCTGACATGAAAATGCTTATGTAGTACTCTTCACTCGCCCTACACATGACATACCACACGCGTGAGGGGATTGCATGTATCTTGCCGTCGGCTTCCCTAAAAAATACCTGTATGTATTACAGCAACACTAGAACACACGTGAACAAATAAAGACGAAATTGTTCAATCAATAGTTGTTGGGTGTGTTTAGCGATTACACATATCTGTAGATTTTACATTGGTGTTAATTGAAATGTTTAAGTAAGACAATGACGATTTCTATGTTTAAAAAAGGTGTCGTAATGGTTACGTAAACATGACCTAATTTCACGTCTCCTCGAACTGCCTTGTATAAGAAAGCCGAGGAATGTTTACAGAAAGTCGGGGACAGATTTCACATGTCCGAAGGAATACTTTAACCGCGCATGCGCATTACATATATAGAGAACATGCACCTTGGGCAAAAATCCATTAAAGAGTAAATATTTGGGAAATAAATACAGATACCTTCTCATACTGGAAATACCTTTTGTCGATCGATGGAATATGTGATATAAGTCCATTCCACAGTTATTTTCAATTGCGCTGTTCCTTTTAGGGGACATTTACAGAAGATGTTTGTTCGCAATCAACACACTCGCTGACCCATGCACTTTTCCCTAATGCGGCAAATATCTTTACTACGTGTTCAATATGCTTGCAAGCAAGTACACAAACAAAACGACAGCAGATAATCAATAACGTCATTGCTAGAAGGCTCAGAATTGTGATGTTATATCTTCCGTTAAAGAAAACACACATGTTCATCAATACATTTTAATTTAGATACCAACTTTCGTGAAAGCCCAGGCATTCAATCCCAATTTTATTTTGAAACTTGTTAACATCGAATATAGGAAAGTTTACATTTATGGTGAACTTAGGTAAGTATGGCAGGCAAATTGTTCTGTGTATTGTGTTAAAATCGAAAGAAGATCCAGAGATCTGGTGTAAATGTAGGAGAAATAATTCTTCAATCAATGTGTCATTATTTTTGTTTTCTATAAATAGCTCTTCGCGTGTACGTTATATGGGACTTTTGGTAGCTGAGAGTCAACTAGCATTATCTCACACACAAGACATTGGTAAAATATGGTAGATCACAGCGATATAATAGATAATAAACGCACTTGGCAGGTAAACATTAAACATGTATACTAGGTTTCAGTCTTTAATTCCAATAAAAGGAAATACACATGCAGTTCCAATCTGATAAAATATACTCAAGGCAACATTAACCATAAACATGTTTTTCTTAATGATTTTGCGAATTTTATATCGGATTATATTACGATATAAATATCTTCTCTTCTTTTTGAATATTTAAATGTACCGGTGTGTAACTGTATTTAAGTTAGACGCCAAAAATGTTTATAAAAATTCGAAATTTTAAACTTAAAATTATTAAAATTAAATTTCAAGCAATTGCTGTTGTACTGTGTACTACTATTTGTTACACATCGACGTCTCCATCATCATTGGCAGTAGGGGTCGTTCAGATTCACGGGATCTCAGTTTAGTCTGACTGCGAGGACCGCTTCCGTGGTCTAGTGGTAGAGCGTCCAGGGTTCGATCCCCGGCCGCGTCATACCAAAATACATTAAAAGATGGTACTTGTTGTTACCCTGTCTGGCGCTCGGCATTAAGTGGGTAAAACAAGGACTGGTCGGCTCGGAATCAGTTTTCTCTGTCTGAGTGGGGTGTTCATGTTAAACCGTGGCATGGTATCTTAATGGACTAGCACTATAAACCGGCATCAATCCAAGCACACACACACACACACAAATACACACATAAATTTGCTTCTGAAAGACAATGACAGCTTGTTCAACAGTGAGAATCTTGAAGTTGATGAACGTATGATGATGCATCCTGATGTATGTTAATACTACCACCTCATATAGTGTGTTCATACATACAGTAAACTACGTTTATAACGAACACGTTTATAACGAACTGACGGATATAACGAACTATTTTTTTGGTCGTGTCCTATTTTTTGGCTGTATATATTCCGTACATTTGCTTATAACGAACTACGGTTATAACGAATTAATATTATTGGTCCCTTTGAGTTCGTTATAACCGTAGTTTACTGTACTTAAATATGTGCGAAGATACTTCACAGTTATTGGTCACCCAGAGAACTAAAACTTCCAGCGTGATTCAACTGTTAACAGATGATTCAAATTATTGAATCGTTTGACAAATAAATTACTTCATATAAGTAGGTAATATTTTAGCACTAAGTATACCTGATCACTTACATCACTATCAACTCGGTGAATATTGTACGAGAAAGCTTCGAATCCACATTTACCATGCCCCAATGACGGGTACACGTGGTTAACTGTGCTATGCCTTCTTCCACTCTTTGACAAATGAAGCTGAAATCACAATTCGCTTTATCCTAACTTGGCCACAAATGTTACAAAACAATAACAAGTATATGAACAAATGTGTTTATTTACAGTGAAATCTCGTTTACTCGAAGTCCCAGCCGTTCGGGCCATAACTATACATATCGAGTTATCCAGCGTTCGAGACAAGCGGATTGTCGATTTATTTACAACAGTGCTGGTAAGGCTTCTGGTAGAGCCAGAAATGTACAGCATCTTCAGCGAATGTCTGTTCAATGGAATCCGAGTTATTATAAGGGTTCGCTGTTGGTATATTAGTGACAATTCACGTTTACACAATGTCAAGTACAATGTCAAGTCCGAGGTGTTAATACCTTACAAGTACACAAGTACCAAGAAAAACACACGTACAGTTTCAGTTTTTCCATCGTCGTCGTCGTCGTCGTCGTCGGCGTCATCATCATCATCATCATCATCATCATCATCATCATCATCATCTTGAACACGCTTATAACGAACTGACGGATATAACGAACTTACTTTTTGTTCCGACTGGAGTTATACTGTATATATGCTTATAACGAACTACGGTTATAACGAACTAAAATTAGTGGTCCCTTTGACTTCGTTATAACCGTAATTTACTGTAGGTCTTCAGTTTGGATTTAAAGGCGACTAATGAAAGGGCGCATCTGAGCTGTAGGGGGAGAAAGTTCCATAACACTGTTGCAGAATGGTGAAAAGATCTGGCGCCAAGGGTAATTAACTTTTAGGGAGGTACTTCATAGAAGGAATCAATCCTGACGGAATACATCATTCGTTCAACATTTTTCACTGAAAAATATTAGGCCTGCGGAAACGATTTGGGTCCGAACGAAGCTAGTTTTGTTTGTGTAATTACTCCGTGGAAACCTCGAAGCGCTGCATAACAAAACTATTCGGGATGTATGGATCTGTACTTAACGTTTTCCCAAAGGAGACTAATTGCGTTCATATAAATATGTAAATTATAACTTGAAATATGTACCTACTAAATCAAAAGCTGTAAATTGTTCCTTCACCAACATTTTCAGAAGGTTCGAGAAATCAACCTCAAGATAGATTAAAGTACCATGTCTCTGGCTTGCACTCCGGGGAACCGATATGCAATTTCGGCCTGATGACAATATTTGGGATATGAGAAAACACGTGACCCAATGAGAAATATTACTCATTCCGGGATCAGGAAAGCTCCATGCCTCCAACAAAAGTTAAATGCATTTTCCGTTTGATGACATTGGCCATTTTCAGCCCATCACATTCTTGTTATTTGCATTTGGAAACATAGTTACTAGTTCTTTAAAATATTAAAGAACGTTTAGCATCTTCTATTCATTGGAAGTAGACCACCGCGACCCATAATTATTTTCATACGATTGTCATCACTTGCCACGCATTATATAACCTCTCCATGCAACAGACTGATATCGGAAGAAAAATGCATAGTAAATGGCACACATAATTTACGAATCACCTTCACCATGACCTTGACCTCACGATTTTTTTTCGATCGCTGCCCCGTTCTATGGATGACATGTCCCGGGTTTCATTGAAAGTGACCGCTTCTCGATTTAACTGGCGGAACTATTTTTTTCAGGCTATGACCTTTGGGGAGACCTTGACCCTTGACATGATTGGTCAATGTCTCAAAACATTTTCCCAGAAGTATAAATAATATTCAATTATTACTGTATCTTTGCGATGACCAAGGACCGTGTGGTTTCAAAAACATAACGCGACAGCGTCAAATTCTTACAAAACCTCCAAATACTCGTATCCCAATTTACTTGGGGCTGTGGAATGATAATTATGATAACATGGTCTCTACAGATAGATCTTCTAATAACCATTTACACAATAAACCCCTTATCAAGACAGACCGCTCAAGCTACTTGGTGTTATATGTCACGTGTCTAAACATGTTTCTCTTTCCAGCAACAGAGGATCGAAATAAACAGACATTTCGCCTCACCAGTGTACAGAACAGAAACAGTAAAAATTTAAAACGTTCTCGCCAGGGAATAATGATTCTCGATTATCCGCCGAAATAGATTTCATTATGCGTAATGGATACGTATAGAAATGGATCACTGAAAATCAGTGATGACACCAGGCGAAAAGGGCACATTCTGCCCTAGCGAAAGCACCAGCCTCGACAGATTTTGAATTGAAACAAAACTAGTGAGTATACTTTCGATTTTGAAGAATGCCATCCAGTTATATTCAGTTTATTTGTTAATGTGTTTGTGTTGTGTATCACTTTCTGCACTTCACGTAACTTGCTGTTTGATTACTTTACTTATGAATGCACGCCAGAATATATGAATTATTTCCACTCTGTGACTATGGCAGCTGGTAAATGCACTTTTATTACAATTCTACTTTTGTTTGTTTGTTGTTTAACGCCGCACTCAGCAATATTCCAGCTATATGACTGCGGTCTGTAAATAATCGAGTCTGGACAAGACAATCCAGAGATTAACATCATGAGCAGTGATCCACGCAATTGGGATCCATGACATGTATCAACCAAGTCAGCGAGCCTGACAACCCGTTCCCGTTAGTCGCCTCTTACGACAAGCATTACAACAGCACTGCTAAGGCTGATACGGTACGGTACTTGAACACTTGAGTCGGGAACATGAACTTATCGGATGTCAGTGACCTTTGGTCTTCAGTTCCATATATCTACGAGTTTATTGTGAGTGCACTCGCCGTTTGTTGACAACACACTCCGGGGGACGACTCAAAGGGGAAATTAACACGCCCACTTTGAACTCTGTATCACTCTATCAACACTGTCAACCTGCGTTATGTAATAACCCCTTAATCCCTTCATTTATCTTAATATTCAGCCCGAAAAATGTTATATAACGTTTCGGCTCTCTTAAAGGGCAAGTGTACACGGATACACTTACTCGAAGTAAACAAAAACTTCTAATATTTTACTTGAGGCAAATATTTCTGGGCCAATTGTACCACGATCGTGCTCTTCACTCGAGACAGGGCTTCTCAAAAGCTTTGTGAACACCTGGTGTTGCCATGCATGTACAGTAAGACGTGGCTGTATTTTGTTTGATACTTTTGGCTTCACTTGTGTTTGGACACATATGCATGAAATTCATTACACCAAGGGGGGGTACGGATGGCCCAGTCGTCTAAGGCGCCGCGATTCGCTGTGCAGAGTTGCGTCCCTTGGGCAAGCCAGAAACCTATGGTTGTGGGTTCGAATCCCGGTTCGCTCCAATTATGTTTCTAGGTTTGTCAGCACCATACCCTTGCTCGTGGGTTTTACCGAAGTGGTAAACGTCTGAGACCTGCATCATTTCGGGCTTTCCTCCCACATTAAACTGACACGCCTGATATAACTGGAATAATGTTAAAAGCGGCGTTAAACCCAACACACTCACTCACTAAAGAGATTGCACTGGGTGTTACTATATGTAAATTTATAATTGTTCTTGGTTTGACCTTGTCCAGCCTATATTATCCCATGGGTCAGCAATTAACGAGACAATTCAGTTTTGTTTGTGACATAGTACAGAATATGACATGTAGTTTCTTTCTAGGTGTTGGCAGTAAAACACCCAGTTTGGCTGTCCGTGGTGAAATGGGCTGGATGTCGCGTTTTTCAAAGCCCCAAAAATGAGATATGATTAGGCATAAGTTGTACAGAAATGAACAGTTCCTAATACCGAGTGTTATATGAAGATTGTCTAACATGTTTTTTAAAATCATGGGATAATAGTTTTTTTCAATATGTTCAATTATCCTTAGATACAAGTAGCATATTTGTGTAATATATATTTTTTTGCATATATTTTATTATGCAAAGATCAATGGATTGCCAGAATTGAAATAAGGACCTATGCAATGATCTACGGCAATCTAATAGAAATAAACTTCGTACCTATAGACAGATTAAGAAATGATTTGTATCTGAACCATCTGTCACTGAAATCCTACAAAGATCATACCGTAGGTACTTTGCCTCTTGAAATGTAAACTTGTAGATGTACACGCCCCAAAACACAGAAGAGAATAGAGTTTGTAAGTAAATCACACAAAATATTGGGGGGGGGAAATAATATTGCCTCAATGTTTTCCCCTAAATAAAGCGTTCACTGGGCCCTGAAGAAAAGCTTTTCTAGGTACAAAATAAGTGTTCGAAAGAAATAATAAGAAAGAGATTGTGCGTCTTGATGTACTGAGAAAGAAAATAGGAATGTCTTTAGGGTATTGGATGGTCGATGCCTTGAGGTGTTGACTGTTCTGTCGAACAATTATGTTTTTGTTGGCACATCACATTGTGGGTTGCTATTGTGACCTTTATTTCGACGTGTCTACTAAAACCCCACGCGTAGAGCAAAGTTCACATTTTAAGCATAAACTTTAAATATATTAAGCGAAACAAGGCGTGGAAAAGGTCTTCAGCAACCCATGCTTGCCGTATAAGGCGAATATACTTGTCGTCAGAGGCGACTAATGGGATCGGGTAGTCAGGCTCGCTGGCTTGTTTGATGTACATGTATGTCTTCGTATCCCAATTGCATGGATCAATGCTCATGGTGTCAATCACTGGGTTTTCTGGTTCAGACTTGATTATTTACAGACCGCCGTCATATAGCTAGAATATTGCTGAGTAAGACGTTAAATAACAAACTAGCAAACAAACAATTCACCATCTTAAGATGTTTTGTCTTTGGTTTGGAATTTCATCAATACTACAATTAATCATCCAAACGTAATTGCAATAAATTCCGCCATAAAAACACAATACTTTTAATCTTCCTATCTGTGTTACACAATTCAACACCTGGCCGCATCATACCAAACGACGTTAAAACACCTGTTTTACCCCTGCCTGGTACTCGGCTTTGTGGGTTAAAACGAGGACTGGTCGGTTCGGATTAAGTATCATGTGTCTGAGTGGGGTATCCATGTTCACGCCGTGGCATGCTATCTCAGTGGGCCAGCGCAATCAAACCGGTCACACACAAACAACCACCTGCACGTCGCTACATAGTGACAGTGCAATGCTCTTTAACGCAACGTTAAACCTCTACCCTGTGATGTATGCATTACTAGACCATGTTGTGGAGGTATGTATGTCAACAAAACTCACCCGAACCCCATGTCATCTACACGCAACACTGTAGATAACACTCTGGAGCCTACCCAAATGACACCAGTTATAAATACTTGTAGTATACCGAGGTTTGACTGACTGACTGACTGACTGACCGCTGCTCATGCACAAACACTTGCTTGTCCACCTCTGCCTCGATTATCTACATTTGTGATCGCTGTACTGTGACTGACGTTATAATTAAATGAGATTCGAATCCAGGACATCTACTGGCATTTTCCGTTGCAAGCATCATGTCCACATTTGTAAAAAAAACGTGGTATTCACTTTGGCATCATAAACCACGCATCCTTTATATGTTGTGTTTGGTGTAATATACATGAGAAGAACTTCAATTTTGTTGGTGTTTCTTTGACTTATGCTAGCCAGGCAGGTTTCGTTGTCATTGAGGTATATAACGTTATCCACAGCATCTTGACATCACAGCACTCTGGAGTGGCGTCATGTGGGTATACAGTTGTGTGAGTACACATAGCAAGGATGTGCGACTGAACATAACGGATAAATGGATTGAGGCTAATCTGTTCAGTTGGTAGTGTAGCACAGTTGCGTCCTTAGCCGTCACGAAGTGGCTCCCTTTGAAAAAAATTAAACACGCCTCACTGAGTCTTGTTCCACATCACAATATAAAATATGTGAAGTCTTATCACACACTGACGTTAACTCAAGGACAATGTGTCAAGCTAATGTGTATCTTTCAATAAAGGCCATAATATTTATCTGACCAATCTTCTAGAGCTATGTTTGCTATTTTTAGAAAAATACCAGTATTAGAAGTACCAATTGACTGTCAACTTTAACTGTTTGACTATCTTGTTCAACCTATATATATATATTGTTCTATGGATCTGAAGTCTTGGGCTTCGAACATACTGTTAAACTGGAACGTGTTCATTTAAGATATTGTAAATATATTTTGAAGGATTGGCAAACTACCCCTGATTTCATGGTGTACGGGGAATTAGGGTGATTGATACCCATTAAATATCCATGTTAAGTTAAGAATGGTATCATATTGGTGTAAATTAGTTCAATCAGAAACCAAATTATCAGGAATAATGTACAAACTTATGTTGAAACTCTAAATTGCCCACTCAGAGTTTAAGTTCCTACTAGTAAATAAAAGCCAACGTATTTTACAAAGTACAGGTCTGAATCACATTTGGCTGTCTCAGGAATTTCCTAGTGTACAATGGATAAAGGCTAACGTCAAAACTGTTCTTATAGATAATTTTTTACAAAGCTGGAGCAGTAATAAAGTGAATTCCTCATAAGGACACTATTATAATCTGTATAAAGATATCCTCTCAGTAGAAGACTATTTATTGTATTTACCTCATAATTTACAATTTGGCTTACTAAAATCAGAACCACCAACCACCGACTGCCAACTGAAACTGGTAGATGGTATAATCTAAATAGGGAAGATAGGCTTTGCTCTCTCTGTTAAATTAAAATAGGTGATGAATTCCAATTTATACTAGAATGCCATGAATTGGACCATTTAAGAAATAAATATCTCCCATTATATTATTGTAAATATCCAAATACTAAAAAAATTGTTTCACTTATGACTTGTTCTTTTAAACCTCTTCTCTTACGACAAGCCCAATATGTAAAATGTGGACTGAGTATGCTCCAGGAACAATTGGCTCATTTCTTTGTATATATGTCTCTCTTGTCAACTTCTTTATGCCACCACGGTGATTCATGAGAAATAAACATCTTCTTCTTCTTCTTAATAAACATTAGCTTTCGCGGTGATGCAGAAGTCAAAACAGCTGATTCAATCAGATATGGTTATTGTAATTTAAAAGCTGCGATTTACTCGTCAGAATCATGGTATAGAACTCAATATATTATAACACCCGCAAATCAGTAAAAAACACATCTTTATCCCCCAAATCACCCACTCACCTTCAAAAGAATTCCCCTCATTACACGAAAATGACGGAAGCATAAACGGTAATAATTTACACTCACATAGTGACTTTGCACAGAAATCTTACTTATAGGGAAGGATTGTTACAAA